CCCCCCCACCAAACTGATAAAAGAAACTCCTTTTTGGCTCTACCTGTATATTCCTTTCTGTCTGTTTCCCCTCTATGGTGGACTTTAAAAACAATACTTGCATTGACATTTCACATGGAGTAACAGCCTGGGAATAACCAGGACTTGCTTGAAAATGGAATATGTAGACATGGATACCATGTGATTTAGAGAGAGGCTCCCTGGGTCAGCAATACCAGCTGTAGGTAGGGTCCACAAAGAGACCCCGTAGTCCAAAGCAGCTCTGGATCTGAGAAGCTGTCCTTCTAGTTCTGTGGTCAGTGTAGGTGGGATGCTGAAACTGTCCTGGGCAATTAATGATCTAATTGGACACGGGATCCTTCAATCAAGTGTTTTTTCACAAGTGACATGTAGAACTGTACCCTTGGTTGGTATAAATCAGTAGCGCTCCTCAGACTTCCCCACTGGTTGTCTGTAGCTGGAGACCAGGTCTGCATGGGTTCACTTGTAAAACTACCCTGAAATGAGATTAAATATTACTCCTGAATCAAGAGTGGATTGAAGCAAAGAGAACTTGCATATGTACCACCCTGGCATATGTGGTATTTGCAGGTCAGTTCCCAGGCAGCGAGTTGGGCAACCACATGCAAAAATATTTAAATACTATGGAGCAGCTGAGGGTGGGTTGCCTGCTTGCCAAGTGAGGGTCTGCAGCAAAATAAGCTATTGGTTTGATAAAGCAGTTGACATAGGAAGAGCCAAGAGCAACTGCAGGAGATGGGTTGGAATCCCAAATCGGAGCAGAGCCTAATACAAACCTAAGGCTCTTTGCCAATGTGTAAACAGACTTTGTCACCCTCGGGGAAGCTTCAGTGCTGTGTTCCCCAGCCTGGCACATGTAGTGCAGGAGTGGGTTTGAGGAGCGTGCTGGAGCTGCATTCCCAGCAATGCTGCGGAAGTGGTAGAGGCGTAGTGTTACTTGGAACGACTTTCTTTTGAAATGGATAGCTCGGGATTATATTTTGGCTCTGCACAGCGGAAGCGTTAGCCAAGAGAGAACTATAGCTCTAATGAGCTGTTAAAAATCAGTGGTAAGTCTGGCCAGTAGCCTGACATGAGACACAAGTCACAAGAATGGACACTTGGGAGATAAGTGGTGCAACTGCTGGTCTTGAATGGTCTGGCCAGAAATGCCCAGAAGTATTTAACTAAGGCTCTTCTTGGGGTATAGTTCTGCTTTGATTGATCTCCTGTGGACCCTGTGCATGGCATATCCTGCAGACATATTTGCAAAAGGGGCTCCTATTCAGGGAATCTCCTTGGTGCCGGGTTTGCTCACCCACAGCAGATTTCTGCATGAAATGGCTGAGTTCCCCATCTGTGAACTTGCTGTCGCTGCTGGATTCTAGGCAAGCGTTGCAAATATCTCTTGCATAGGACTGGATGGGGCCTTCTGGGGCTTCATGTCTACGCCAAGCCCTCACTGGCAGCACCACTGTATACTCTTGTTCACAGATGTATCAAGCTGGACCTTAAAACTACATGCATTTCTTGATCCAGCCTGTTTGAGGTCCTCCTTTCTCTGATGCTTAATACTCCCCTTCTCTCTTTCAGCCTAACCTTACTCCTGACCAGTTTGTATCCTTGTCTGTCTCGTGCCAACTGGGTAGCTAGCACTTAAAACCAAAACAAAAACTCTGCTGCAAAGAGAATTTTTAAAGCCACACAGGAGTTTAGGCAGTAGCTGACTTGCAATCTGTATTACAGATGGGTGCAAGGGATAAAATTTGGATCTGGAGCCTATAATACTGTCTTAAGTCTGTGGCTTCAGAGCGTAGTAAGCTACATTGCATTTATTGCTTATTAAGATTGTTTCCAGAGAGTGCGGCCAGAGTAGCTGGTGGGCTGTAAGTTCACACCTAACCTTGGTTTACACTAACTTCTCGATGGAGACACGCACCCGTTGCTTTGGAACTGTTACACCTGGAATACGCCATTGCTTCCTTTAAAGAGGAAATGGTTTGGACTGCGTTTACAGGGGAGGCTGCTGTAGGGAGCTGGGGAATTTGAAGTTTTAGAGGAAGTCAAAAATAAATACTTGAGGGAGGATGGGTACCAGAAGCTGGCTACATTTAAAGCTTGCTAGGGTGACTATGTACCTTGCTGCAGAAAGCAGTATAGAGACATGAAGGAGACCTACGGGGAAGTTAAATGTTCCGACTTGGGAAGAAGTTGTTGGACTAGCTGGGGAGTAGGGGGGACGGAGGAAGGAAGAGATGCAAGCAGAGCTGGAGTTATAGAGACCTCTGAGCTCCTGAGTAGAAGAACCTTGAATTCCAAACCCAGTTCTTCCTGAAAACTACACAAAATAGTATCTTCCTATTCCACATACTCCTCCAGGTCAGATATGCTTGTCGTAACAAAATGAAGTATTTGCTGTCTCTTCTTGCTCTTATTTCCTAATGCAGCCAAATGACTCCTGCTGTTGATTGCCAAGAAGTTAGAGAGCACAAGTGGTCAAAGTTCTGGCTGGCTGCTCCTGCCCACACCTACTGCAGGCAGGGCAATAACGTGTGTTTTTTAGGAATATAGTCTAGCCCATCTTTCCATTCTGATGTGGAATGGAAAAACCCAGAGTCAGGTGCTACCAGCAGTAATTTTACACTGCACAAAATGGGGGTTATTGCCCAGTAGGTTATTACTCCAAGTGCACAAACACTCTGGCAACCTTTGCCACAAATGCTACCCATGCAATTCAGGGGCCTTTACTAGGGGCATAACCGGTTCAATACTGTTTGTCCAGCACTGTGAAAACAAGGTTTAGTTCTGTCTGTATATAGGATAAATACAGATGTAATCATTAACAAATCATGCTGCAGCCCTGGACTTTTGAACTGAACAGTGCTGTTGAGGGAAGAAAAGATCCATGCATCTGTGTCATGTCCCAGAAACCTGGCTGAGACTACCCAAGATCCAAGTAAGATGTTAGAGAAGCATGTGGTGGTGTCTAATTCAAAACACTTAATTCTTCCATCTTAATTTGTGTTTTTATCTTCTCAGTGTTTCCCAAGCAGCAAGGGCAACAGGCGATTATTTAGGACACAGGCTCAGTACCACACTTGGACAGGTCAGTTGTTCAAAACCACTAGAATAGCTAACCCTTGGCATGGACATGTGCACTGATGGCAGCTGGCTCTGATAACTTACTGTTCGATTCGGAGGCCTTCATAAAAGAAGGAAAACGGATATCCAATGTAATACTTCATTTTATGAGAGGGCATTAAACCTTTTGTAAATCCCTTTCTCCAATGGTACTGTAGTGGATTGCCATAATATATTGTCAACAGAAAAGGTGACTTGACAGCAAATGAAGGCCTGGCAATGGAAGATGGCCAGGTCCAGCTGATGGAACTGCATAGACTAGTAGGTCCATCCTGGGGTCTCTGAGCTGGCATGGAAAAAACTTTGGCCAGCTCTACGCTAAATCCTTCAGCTGCCAAATTGCGCGGCTTAAGGAGTTTGTATGCTTGTCATACTTGCCATGGATGTGAAGATACTTTCACTGTAGAGGTCCCTTTTTGTTGGAACCACCTTCTTAATGGGCAAGAAGGAAATCTGCTTAAGATAAGAAAATGCAAACTCTCACCAGTACCAAGGTTAGCCAGTTGAAATCCTCATGGGGTATGGGCAGATGAGCCAATTGCATCAATATTAAAGGGTACTGACCGGACTTAGGAGCAGTTCTGTCTGCATGGCTGTAAAGACGCAAGTGTAGCAGAACTGCTCTGGTTTTAACTCTGCTTCATTCGGAGGGTGTAGACACGCATAACAATATCTTGATTAGAACTGGTTCACAATTGTCTGAGGTACAGGCAGTCCTTGCACTTGGGGCAGGTTGCGTTCCTGGAAAAGGTGCTGTAAGTCGAAACTATGCAAGTCGAATCTGATTGTTTCTGGGGGGGGGAGATGTTATAATAGGGGGTTACGTTCCTGACCAAGGGCCTGATGCCCAGCCTTTTATAGAAATGACCATAAACACCATATTTAAATCAACTATTTAATCAACTATAAATGATATACACTGTACAGTACAAAGCTTTCTGAAGTGTACTGTATATAAATCAATTAAACAAGGCAATACAGTAACTAATCACATAAAATTTTATTTAATTGGAAGCTGAAGAAACACCTTCATCTAGGTCATGGTGTTCAGAAGGGCTTCTTTGGGGAGACTTAGGGCCACTTGATGGCTTTTTGAGAAACTGATCCAGGGATGTTTGTTTTGCTGCCCTGTCTCTCTCGTTGTGAATTTCCCCGTGGTGCCATAAGTGCGAGGATCCAGCGCCATAAGTAATAACATGGGTGTAAATGGCGGAGCACCGCAAGTGCGAATCGCCGTAAGTCAAAATGCCGTAAGTCGGACTGCCTGTGCTGTGGCTCTGACACCAGGGGTGGGAGACAGCACCCAGCCCAGCATGCCTTGCAGTGTTGGGGAGGGGCAGTAATTGCAGCTCTGTTTTGGGGAGATCGTGCTTTGTGTGACGTGTGGTTGATCTTTCTGTTTTTTGTTTTCTGCTTTCCTTTCTCTGCTAAACAAGAGTTCAATAGCCTGCACATGGCCAATGTCTGCAGTGCGCTTCTCTGACTTGGGGGCGGGAGGGTAATGTTTGGACCCATGCATTTTGATTCGCAGGGGCTAGGGGGACATGAAGAGGGGCTTCAGTTGAGGGAGTGAGGACATAGCTGGCTGTTAAAGAGATGGCTTTTATTGAGCAAGCACTGCAAGGGAGCTTGGGTTTAAAAAGTGCCAATAAAAAGGGTGGGGAAAGGACCATGTACCAGAGTGGCCAGTTACAGCAGTATGGGGTGGGGGAGGAGCAAAGTAGTGTTGGGGGCCTGGAGGACCAACAAGACCCTTGTCACAACTGATGTGCACTCCTGATCAGCAGCTCCCCCTCTCCACTGAAAGCAATGTAAAGGTAGGTTTGCTGGTGCCTATGCAAGCCTTGCTGCATCTGTGTGTTTACAGTTCACTGTGCAAAAGGTCCTCCTTTTTGTTTGTGACGGGATGTCTTGGAGCACTGAATGGCCTTCTGATCCTCTCCCCTCCTTCTGAGAAGGACTTGTGACTAGTTCTGTGTTTTGCAAGTGTAGATATTAAAAATGCCCCCTGAAATTGCATTAAACCCACTGTCCTCACTTTCTGCTTCTTGCAGTTGGCCTTGCAAATTTAGTGAGGATTTTATTATGAATAATTTATGCTCTCTCTCTCGCTCTCTGTTATAGTAGTGAGTCGCTATAAAACTCACAAGCATATCGTGGCTGTTACTTGGCTTTTCCACTGTTCCTCTTAAAAAGTTTTAGAGTCATGAAAATTATTTGTTTTTATAAATCCATTAAAGTATTGAGTTAAATCAAACTGGCTGCCTTCTGGCCGTGAGGGGATACTTGGCAAACACAAGGCATTCTTACTTGTTTAGCTCCCAAACATGGATCTGCTGACAGGATCTTTAATCCTTCCTTTGCCTTGGGGAACACTTTCTGTAGTTGTACGGCAGCAAACATTCAGCTGCAGTGTCTAGGCTTGGCCTAAAGCCTTGGCAAAATGCTAGCAGTGCCCACCCCATGGCAACCCAGAGTGCAATCACAGTTTGGCCACAGCTGAACAATTAACCTGGAGGCTAAATGTGAAAGATCACATTTGCACTTTGTTCTTTTGAAGGGTTTGGCTATAATCTCCACCTCAAAATCCTGTTGCAGTGTCCAAGAAATATGCAACTTCCTAATGGAACAAAGCACAGTCACCCAGCGCCACAGCAGCCCAGCTCCTTTAAACAGGGAGCCACGAGATCCTTTTAGAGTCGCTGGTTTAGAGAATGCAGTGCTGTAACCATGTCAGCCCAAAAACTCTCAGAGCTGAAGTGCAGCTTTTTGACTCTGCCCTTGTACTACAAGCATTATGATAAGGCTCCATGACCTGATGCAGCTTTGTAGAAAATGAGTTCTCTGCTTGGTTTTTTTGGGGTTTTTAAAGCCCTGTGATCTATGCTCATGGTGAGGAACTGGGCATCGCAGAGCTATTCAATCATTCACATTTGTGCTTAATCTTCAATTGCCTCCTTAATTTCAGAAATCAGCAGCTTGAGTGAAAACGATATCCTTGTTCTGCGCCTTGACCTGACTGAGCGAAGCTCTCATGAAGCTGCAACCAAGGCTGTTCTTCAACATTTTGGCAGAGTAAGTTACCTGTTTGCACTGAGGTTTTCCCTGGCAAATGCTCCCACCGCTCTGCCTTCAATTTTGGTAGCAAATCAATTCATTTGACACTATCCACATTAAATGGGCAGAGAAGCACATGAGGCCTTGATCCTGCAGTGTTCACGGTGGATTTGATTTAAATCACTGGCCAGGAAGCCTCAATTTAATCACTGTTTTCTCCAAAAAGTGCATTCTTGTTGTTTGATATAACTTTTTATTACAATATTCCTAAACACAGGGTCTCTCTCATGACCTTGAAAGCCTGCTGCCATGATAGGTTTTCCCTTCTACCATACCACTCCCTCACTAGATCCCAAATCAATGGAGAGGCTGTACTCAGAAGCTTATCCCTCAAGACTTCTGGAATAGTCTGCTCAAAATGTTTTCTCTTTGGTCTCTACTGCCCCTCCCTCCTTGCATTTATTTCCACACTCCTCCTTGCCCGAATCTACTGCACCCCCAACAATCCTCTATTCATTTAACTTGAAACTGTTTTTTAGAGAGAGGCGAGGGCTTGACTCTGTATGCAAACTTTCAGAGAGACAATAGGGCCGATTGGGTAAGTAATCGGGTCTGTTATCTCTCATCTCCATATGCTGCTGTTAACAAGGATGTTATTTCTGGAAACACAAATCCACAGTTTGAGAACTGAAACTAAGCATCACAGAGATGCTTAATGGGATCTTCTAGACTGAGCACTCAGTCCCATTGGGTAGAGTGGTTTTCTTTAATCTTTACTAATCTGTAGAGCAGCCTCTGGGAACCCCAAAAGATTGAGCCTCTAATATAGTCCATGGCCTTTTGTGACCTATCTTTATAAAACTTTTCTGAGAATATTGCATGAAAATATTGTCTCAAATAGTATATAATTGGTTTTAATTTAAGATAGGTTAGAGCTCAAAGATATCATCATGGAATAGGGATTATAACTTCTATCTTTATATAGCTTTTTTTTGAAGTATCTTGGCAAAAAAAACCTAAAAAAAAAAATCAATTTAAATTTTAAAAAAATCATTTTTTAATCCACCCTCTGGGTTCACCATTGGCTTCAGTGATATGATACACGGGTGCAAGAATAAGCTAGTAACTTCTGGCTAACGGTCTGAGTCCAAGGATTCAATTGGCTGCGACTACAGAGAGGCTCACACTCGGTTGATTGTACAATATAGCCAATGACAACCATTCAGTTGATTATCGTGTAACTTTTTTAACTCAAGACCCACTGAAAATGCAACCCACTGTTACTGTGTCTTCATTCAAAAGTCAAGTGGACAAATGCAAGTTCAAAGAGTTTTGTGTCCCATCTCCAGCATTATCTTGTTCTAATTCCAACTGTGGTGGAAATGTAGATGAGACGAAGTTGAATGAACAAACTTGTTCTTGGTGTGTAGCTGTTCTATTCCAAATGGGCAGTTCTGGGTATGAAACTAAAGGGGCGACAGCAATCAAATCCAGTCAGTTAAGAATTGAGTGCAGAGTTTCAGGCCACAACTCCAGCCCCTGCTTGCCAGTCTTGCACACTTGCTACCTGTTTCTGTCTACTACAGTAATGCCCCACGTAGGCAGAAGGGTTTGCTTACAAAGATCATCACGCAGTGCCGGGTGTTGGATGTTACTTGTTACAGCAGTGCTTAGAAATGGTGGGGCCAACATGTAGTTTTCCAGCTGACCAGTGTTTCTCTAACAAGCTGCAGGGGCTTAGGTTGTAGCCAGGTTGGTCTAAGGACATAGGCAGACAAGGTTCCTTGGGTGAATTTGATATCTTTTATTAGACCAACCCAAATAGTTGGAGAATAGTTATTAAGCATGTGTACATTTCTCACTCTGATTGTTACTGGTTAACATAAAGTTGCGTTCAAAATTAGCTGAACCACAGTTTAGACTTCAAACCATTTCAGGATTAGGATTAAATGCTTGAGTGTCCTCTTTAGCATAAATACTGGCTCAGTGCTACAAAGCTAGAAGATACTGAGGGCAGGGGATGAACTGGGTCAAGTCTGCACTGCATCTGCAGATACTAGTTTCCAAAGGAAACAGGTTTGACTTGTTGCTGCATCTTTCCCAAAGATCGATGTTTTGGTGAACAATGGCGGTCGCTCCCAGCGCTCCCTGTTTGTGGATACGAGTGTGGACGTCTACAATGCCATTATGGAGCTTAACTACCTGGGCACCATCTCCTTAACAAAGCACGTCTTGAATCACATGATTGACAGGAAGAAAGGGAAGATCGTTACTGTGAGCAGCGTCATGGGTATCATGGGAGCCCCCCTGGCCACTGGGTACTGTGCCAGCAAGCATGCCCTGCAGGTAAGATTTTAACTCCAGGAGCTTTGGTGCTGTTTGGGCATAGAGTAAAGTTGTAGCTTAATGTCTGGCTCAGCGTCTGCAGCAAAAGATTTGTATTAGTCACAGACTAGTGAGAGAGACCCTCATGAGAAGGGTTTGAGCAACAGTTTATACTCGCTGTGGGCTTTTTTTTCTGGTCTTCAAATCTCCTTGGGTTGGGTATATAAGAAATAACTTCTCCCATTGTCTGTACAAGCAAACACCCATCGCTGTCCTGTTCATTTCTTCTGTGGATATTGAACAACTGACTCTGTGAATTCCTGGGAACTGGTGCACGGCTAACAAATGGACTGTTCCCTTTTATTAAAGAAAGTGTGAGGTGGCATTAAGATTCGATGGTCACAACCTAGACTTCCAAAATGACACCTCCAGTCTCCTTTAAAGCTTGCTTGCTTGCTTTAGAGGATTTATTTCTCTGCTTTCCAATGCATTTTTCAAATTCTTTCTCCACAACCATGAGGGAGGGAGATGGTAAAATGAAAGCTGAGTCTGTCCTAATCACTGATTTCCAGGAGCTGAGGCTTCAAGGAGAACAAAAAGGGTCTCACCTGCTCTGTGACTATCATATCAAGGGGCATGATGAAATCCCCAAAATACAAACAAGGTACAGAAGAGCCAGTTACACCCTCCTGTCCTTGCCAGGCTTTATATACCACTGTAAAACTAAAACTGTTGCACTGAAACCCTGGGCTGCACAGAACTCGCAGGGTTTTGAAAGCAACATGAATGCACGGTGTCCACTTCTAGCAGAGGTTTTTCCTGTTTGCTATTCCGATTCCAAAATGTAAAAGTGGACATGCACACTTCACAAATCCTGTCCCAAATGTTCTTAAGAGCCATGTCAGAAAAGCCCATATTCCATAATGAACCAAACTCTTGGATCCTGGTTGTGCAGGTGCAAGGGGCAGAAGAACCACACTCTGCCCTGGACCTTAGGTTTGGTCACAATGAGTGCATGTTTGCCTCCCTTGCTCACTACATGCACACAGGATGAGGGGGCTGGTGATCTGCAGACAGCTGGGCTTGCAGCAAGGTGGGTTAGGTGACTGTACATTTTCCTGCTTGGGGCAGCTAACTGGGCTTGTCCACCAATGGCACAAGGCTGCTGGTTCCAAGATGCAGCGCAGCTCTTTGGTATCCCTCAGGCATTTCAGAGCTTTCCTCTGAGCTTTAGAGGGTTTCCGAAGGATGAATTCTCCCTGCAGCACCTAGTGAAGCATGGGGAACCTTCACCAGAACCCCATAAACCAGCCCTAGGATGTCCCACTGCAGTTGCCATTGGCATCTTCCTACTCTTAACTTGTGACCTAGAAAACCATGAAACTTCATCAGCAGAGATATACTTCCTTAATATGAGGAAAGACAGTTTGAGTAGATGCTAGAGTGCTTTTTCCTTTTTCTCACGCTTATTAGCTCAGATCTCAGCCAGAGGCAAAATACTCTTGCAAAATCCCCAAATGTACAAATCCCTAGTAATAATCCCAAGTAATATCAAACAAGGAATTATCTCTAATGAGAATGAGGCATATGGTCTGGTCTGATGTACTTCAGTAAAAGAGAGACTAGGGAAGGTGTAGTAGCTCCTTGAGGAATTCAAGTTTGTCTTGCGGCAGGAGCATCTGAAGGAACGCTAGAAGCCACGAGTGTCGAGCACTTGCATCGGTAGGGCCAGAGGGTAGTAGTGGCACAAAATACTTCTCACAATTAACCTCCCAGACATCTGCATCCTGCCCTTGTGTCTCAACATGCCTTGCAACAAACGGGGGTGGGGGTTGCTCTCTCTTTCTCACCAACGTGACTGTTGTTTCCTGATCTCTGGCTGGCTGCAGCTGGATTTCTTGCAACTACTGGTGAATAGATGCAATCTGGATTTCAACATTGTTCTGTGAATTCCTTTTAACACATGGCGGTGATTCTGGGAGCTTAAACTGCAATTCTGGTTGGTGAGGCTAGAAAATGGTGCTTTGCCCAACACCTGACTCAAATGCACAAGTGACTTTGCTTCACTGCCTGACACAGAACTGCTTGTTCTCTTAACACGTTCAAGCGGCCGGTACTGTGAAAACAGCACAGCTTTGGAAGACTGTGCCAGACTAGTGACAACACAGCTGTGTGGCCAGTGATTAGATTACCCAGAGCTCTTGGCAGATCTACATATTGGGCAGTGCTGTTGAAACAAACCCCACCCATGTGCTCCCACTTCTTCAGTGCCTAAGGCAACAGAAGCCCCTATCTGCTGAGCACATTTAAGGCTGAGGGAGCAGGCGCACACTCCCTGCATAGTAAATTGACTTATGTAGTAAAGGGGGAGTCCCCATCCCACAGACTGACTATACAAAATAGTAAAGCTACCTTATAAAAACTTGTGTAGTAACTTTACCATGTAGAATGGTTCCTACTTGGGCTGCCTTGCGTGTTCACTCCCCTACCCCACTTCAGTGGCCATTGCTGGGTGCAAACTAGCTCTTTCACCCCTTAGTGGCATAGTGCTGTAACAGCACCTGCTAGAAGCTGACTTGGGAGAGGCAGCTATGTGCATGCTCCTTGCCACAGAAGAGCACACCCAGCACTTTCCCAATAGGGGTAACCTCTGGGGTAAGCTGTTTCATACCAGCAATGTCACTTCTGCTTCATGAGGGCCTGTGAGTAGTGCTGAAGGCCAGAAAGTGACCATGGTTTTTTTGCCCTTTGGCAAGCATGGAGGGGTGTATTTTCTCAGTAGTGTTCCCTAGCACGGCTGACATGATGGTGATCTATCATGGTGATCAAAGCAGACTATAGCAGGGGTAGGCAACCTGCAGCATGCATGTCAGAGCGTGGTGTGTGCAGGTATTTTGCTTGGGACTTGCGCCTCGGGGAAGGAGCCGGGGCTGCATGGCCACAACAAGGATCGGACCCCTGGCGGCTCCCCTGTCACCCACCCTGGCGTACCAACACCTTACAGGTTTAGGATGTGGGTGTTTTTGGCACTCTGCCCAAAAACGTTTTTGCCCTCTGTTCAGTAGCTCTTGATACATGGATCTTGCAGGTCTCTATTAGACAAGATGCCTTTTGGCTTCAGCTCTGATCGATTTAAAGTGTGCATGAGAATAAGTGCGGGTTTCCCCCACTTGCCAGGCTGCAAGTAATCTTTGTGACATGCTTTTTTTGTTTAAACCCACTTCATCCATTGTGCAATACCATAAACACTCACAGTGTGCTCTTAATCCCTAGGCATAATTTTGCTAAGCTGCTGTGAAGGTTGAGAGTGAACCAGTATCTTTAAAAAATAAAAAGCTTTGCAGTTCTTAGTTCTGTTAAAATAAAGAAACCCAGGATCCTTGGAAATGAACAATTAAGCTACTAACATGGCCTTAACATTGCCTTGAAACCATGTGGGGCCAAACTTTTTGGGAGGTGTGACACAAATTGCCCTCCTCAGTGCTACTCTGATTCTCTTTCCCCACCTGATCTGCTGCTCTTTCTGCTCCCTGCTCTATTTGCTGCTATACTCTCTACTCCTTCCATGATCCACTGCACGCCACACATGACATGCATGCTACAGGTTGGCAACCCCTGCCAGAGTGCTGTCAGATTCCAGGGTTTTCTTTTTTGGTTCCAGAATCTGCTACTCAAATAACCCATTGCAAGGTTTCAGGATGGGGGGGAGGTCCCTTATTTTATAAAAGGGGGGTGTTTAGAGAAAAAGCTTTAACAAGTTCAGCCTAGAGTTAGAAAGAAAGCTGAACTGAAACCTTTTCACATCCTGTGAGGCTGGGGGTAGAGGTTGGTTCTGGGGGGAGGGGGTTTGTTTTTTGAAATCTCGCACTTTCCTAGTCTACACTTGGATGAGTGCAAAACCCTTCAATGCCCTTTAATATTTTTTTAAATAATCCCAAATCTAGAAGTGCATGCACGTCCCCCAGCACACACCATGTCTGAACAGCCAGCAGCTGGAGCTCGGGGCAGATGCTTGCAATCCCTTGTCTGAACTCTGCCACAGGTGGCACGGATGTGGTGTGAGCGGGGGGGCACAACTCCACTCTGCGCTGCCCCTGCTGCTGCAAGTGGGCACTGGGCCTGGCTGGGCTGCCGCCCCATGCCCTGCCATTAGTGCAGAAATCACACCGCCACCCCACTGCTGCCAGGCCCTGGCTCCGGCCAGACAGCAGCCTCGCGCCCTGCTGTCAGCGCAGAAATCTGGGGGAGCATATGCCACCCTACCCCACCCCTCCAACACGTCACCAATACACTTGGCAGAGCAGATCCTTGAACCTGGGCTTCCTGCGCCCTAGGCAGGCATGCCAACAGGTGCCTTTTTGCAGGGGTCTCTGACATTTTATTTCTCTGACACCACAAAATTTGGGGTGAGGTGGGCACGCTGGTAGGGAGGGAAAGACTGCAGCAAGACCTGGATAGGTTGCAGGGGTGGGCGAACAAAAACAGGATGCGTTTCAATACGGACAAGTGCAGGGTGCTGCACTTCGGCAGCGGGAACCAGCAGCACACTTATAAGATGGGAAACTCCCTTCTTGAGAGCACAGAGGCAGAAAGGGATCTTGGAGTCATCACGGACTCCAAGATGAACATGGGCCGACAATGCGAGGTCACGGTCGTCAGGGCTAACCGGACCCTATCGTGCATCCACAGGTGCATTTCAAGCAGGACCAAGGAGGTGATCCTCCCCCTCTACGCAACACTGGTCAGGCTGCAGCTGGAGTAATGTGTCCCGTTCTGGGCGCCCTACTTCAAGAGGGATGTGGACAATATTGAGAGGGTCCAGAGGAGGGCCACCCGCATGATCCGGGGACAGCAGGGCAGACCCTACAATGAGAGGCTACGGGACCTGAACCTATTCAGCCTTCACAAGAGAAGGCTGAGGGGGGACCTGATGACTGTCTATAAACTCACTAGGGGGGACCAGAAGGGTTTGGGGGAGACCTTGTTCCCCCTAGCGCCCCCCGGGATAACAAGGAATAACG